CAAATTAGCGCTTAACACTGAACTCAGAGAAGATCCAGCATGCACATACACACCTACTCAGACGCGCACACGTGTTTGCGCTCACGCAGAAACTCATTTATCTTAAGCTGAGAGCAAGGTTAATTGGTCTCTAGTAATTATGTTAATTGTGGATTCTCTGACTGGCAGAAGTTTCCAGATGGTGGGACAGCTCTAGTAGGATAACAGCCACTCTGGGGTCATAGTGTAAGATTAGGAATAGGACTAGAATTAGACATATTCTGACAGAGATTTTGGCACACACACATGCATGCAGAACACAGACACACACACACAGACACATGCAGGTCGGTTTTTATAGGATGGATACTACAGTTGTGTGCAAAAGTTTAAACACCCCTAATCAAATGACATGCTTTGTTGATTTCCTAAGTGAAAATAAGTGAACACATTCTCTACGGGAAACAGTGCACATTTTCTTGTTATTTGCTTAATTTGACACATTGGAAAAAAATAAAACATAAAATTCGCCGGAACTTTTACACAGGCTACATGTTATGTTTTATTTTATTGCAATAAAATATCAAAAAGTATGTTCTCTGTAGAGGATGAGTTATTTTCACTTTGAAAATCAACAAAATATTTAACTTGACCTGGTGTCCAAACTTTTGCATATGACTCTATTTTATTTCCTTGCTTTTGGAACAAAAAAACTTGTTTACAAATATATAACTTCACATGAGAATCAAACTTCACTTCTTTTTATGCATATTAACCCCTTAAATGGCCAGGACCAGTCAGGTGTCCAAACGTCTAAAAGTTTGCCTTAAAATAATATGTTAATGTTTTCATTTTCAATTTTTTAGAGCTTTCAAAACAAGCTAACATGCTAGTCATAATACATTTCAATACAACACCTTGTATTAGTACATCCTAGTAACTACTTGTATGTAATAATAATGAAAAGCCCAACGCTAAAGCTAATCTTAACCTCTTGTAAATTTAAATATAAATCTTAAAGAAATAGTTTTGCCCGTTGCTTTGGAAAAAACACTTTACAAAGTCAGGACTATTTTGTTGGTAGGTTAGGACTGTGTTTCTCTGATTTTTTTGTCCTGAAAATGTACAAAAACAAACACACGCACGAACATGCATACACAAACATACTCAAATCGATTCGCCACCTCCTTGTCATCTTTATTTTCTTGCAAAATGCAGCACAATAAAAAAGCCCCCAGTCCATCAACTCGCTCGTCAATCTCACTTCCGCGCCTGTCCCCTGTAATACGGCTCCCACACGCACTGCAGGATCTAACCGGCATCTGAGTGTGTATCAGCGAGCGTCAAATTCGCAAACACTCGCCGCGCGTCTCCCCTGTGAGGCTGCCGGTGACAGCTGGGTGGACAGGTTGGCAGCTCGCTGTCACAGCCTATAGATCAGCCTGAGAGAGAGGGAGGAACACACACCTAAAGCCAATAACACACACACCACCTGACCCGAGATCAGTTTCTAATGGAGGCTGGGCGGAGAACGCGGCAGCAGACGAGCCGCCGAGGCCAACCTGGCGCGACCTCGCGGCTCGATTAAATCAATGCCTCTACTCAGGATTTAAAAAACACACTTTGAAGTTGAGGAGAGGAGTGTGGTGGCTGGTGATGCAGCAGAGCGGGAAGGCCTTAGGCTCAGCGGCTTTTGGAGTGCTGTTTGTTTAAGTGGGGCTGGTTGATCCTTTCTGTTAGGCATTAATGAGAAACTGTGTGTGGGATGGGGAGAGGGGGCAGTTATGGTTGTGTACTTACGTGTACCGGTTTTAGGGCATATTTGCTCAAGACTGGTCCCTCCTTTTGTGTTGCCTTTTTAAAACAAATATTGCTGATTTTACAACCATAAATTCTACAGATGGCACAATGCCACTTTTCAATTCTATTGCAATATTGATAATGAAACATTGTGTACTGGCTGAAAATGATGTAATATTTTCTCTTCAAAAATGGCTAAGCTTTAAATAAAGGCTGTTTCTTAACATTTAAAGGCCCTAAGTGACATCCTACATGGTGTCCGCCCCCCACCGAATCATATTATTTTGTGTAAAAGTACCTTATACGTGGTCTTTGCTATTTTTAGGCCACAAGGGTGCCTCCTGCAAAAATTCTCATGGGGACCTCTTGTGGCTCAGGGGCTCTTACAGCTAGAAACTCGAAGCACTTTACTTAAGAGGACCATCTAAAAGTACCACAATCGAACAAAGCAAACACTCTACAACCCAAAGAAATTTAGTACAGTGCTAAAGTCTTCCTGGAGATCTCCAAGAACTCAGGAACCAAACTTGTGTTCTCTTATCTGTATTATTCTAACCAAAATATTAATAAGATATAAATAACATTCTTGTTAGGTTTTACTGTATTTAAGTTTGTTTGTATTTATTCTAATGTTATGGCTCATAAAACACTTTGTCTTGGACTAAACTGCAGTGCCAAAGGTGAATCCCCATTGAACTGAATTGGAAATTCTTTTTAATCTAGAATTAGGGTTAATCTGGGTCTGGGAAACTGGCTGATGCTGTAGTTTTGGTGGCAAAGCACACTTGCTGTTCAAACACAGTGGGACTTTTTCACAAAAGAAATCACTTACAGTGCAAATGTTTGAAAAATCAGACTGTTTAAAATAAAAGAATTTTGATTCTTGTTTAATAATTAGCAAGCTACTCATTATATTACTGATATGTCACTTTATGTTGAGTTATTGTGATATTTGAGGCTAGATACAGTCATATGCAAAAGTTTGGGCACCACTGGTCAAGCTACATGTTGCTGATTTTCTAAGTGAAAATAAGTATGCCTCATCTACAGCGAACAAAACATTTAAATGTACAATTGCTGTTTATTTACTGAATCAAACATAAAGTGTAAAACATAAAATGAAGCCTGTGCAAAAATATTGTGCATTTTATCTTTCATTTCTTCCAATAAGTTAAACTCAGCAAAAAAAAAAAAATGCTAAAACTGGCAGACAAATGTCATATTTACATTTGTCCCCTGTAGAGGATGTGTTAACTGATTTTCACTTAGAATAATTTGACTGGAGGAGCTTACATACTGGAAGCTGGTCTCTGTATCATATTTTCTAATGTCTTTAGACACAAATGAGATGCTTCTGAGGCTTCAGAGAAAATGCATTTTCAACATCAATCAGATAAAGAGCTTTACATGCTTCCTTATTGTCCTTTGGCTGGAGTTTGCCAAACAAAGCTCCGGTGGCCTGAGTGACAGCGACTGTGTTTTGTCCTTAAGAGTGCCCATTAAGCCTTAATCCAGTCCAGAGAACAAACACACACGCACACACACGCAAACACACACACACTCTTGAGCCTGCCCTGAGGGATAGTATGAGTAGCTCTGGGTTTTCCTCTGGTGCTTCTCTCTCACACACAAGATAAAGACTGGGAGTTAAACACACAAAAGACACAATTACCAGAAAGAGAGAGAGAAGGAGAGAGAGAAAGAGAGAGATCTTGGAATGGTGCAGGGTAAAAAACCAAGTCTGAATATTTTAAAAGCTTTTAACCTATAATCTGTGCATGGTTATGTGAAATATTTTAGGAAGGACAGGGTTCTGGGGGTTCAAGGCTTTGTGATTGTGAACACAGAAATATAATAGTAAAGCACAAAAAGCGCACACACGCCCAACAGCTAATACAGGTTGAGAGAATACCTAGAGCAAAAGCATTTAAAATGTGGCTCTTTTACACTCCAGCTTTTCTTTGGCATACACATGCGACAGCAAACTGTGCTTAGACAAACTGAATTAAAATTCACATTAATTTATGACACACCATTAATGTGCAAGGCTCACTAGCAAGCAATAAACATCCACTGTTTGATCACAAAAGTATCTACCACCGCTCTTCTACAAAGCTTGTGCCTAAAGCCAGCAGAACACAGTCACTCTAACACAATCACAGAAAACCAAAGAGAACAGAGAAACTACCCACACTTAGAGCTGGAGTAAAATGGGCTGAAATTAATTAGAGAAGTCCATAAGTGTTTATGATGGAACTCTTTGCAAACATGTGGAAAACCTACAGTCTCAATATTGTATTTGAATCATTGTATTCAAATTGTATTTGAAGTCTTCTGCAAGTGTCTGGAAGAGTTCACTGGCAACCTGGGGGGCTATAATATAGAGGTGGGCAGTATGACGATATGAAGTTTCTTTCCAAATGTGTTTTACAACAAAATCCTTCATATGTTACCATTATTGTCGTAAATTATAAGGATGCATAATCAGAAAGGGCAGATGTTTGTTCCAAACACACGATCAGCAATCAGCCAATTTATTATTTTTATTCAGTCTGATCTCTGTTGCAATTTCTGACATAAATAACATGAGGCAGGTGAGCACTCTTGCACAGTATTTGAATGCTGCTGCTACACTTGCACTAAAATGTATTTGGCTCATTTGTCTCATCATAGCCAGTTGCACTTTATTTGATTCATATTGTTTAAATAGGCAATGGATTTTTCATTGAGGAATTTATAAATCAACTTTGGCCCTTTAAAGTGAAAATAGTATTTATATTATGAGTTTGGATAATAGAAAACCCTGGAAATGTGCTTGTGCGACATCTGAATCAGAGCCAGCCATAAAAACTTATGAATGGTGTATCTCTAATAAATTACATTACAATCACTTTTCATCATTGTATCTATAACACTGAACAAGTGCGTGCTTCGTAAATAAGGCATATTAATACTAATTATAGAACACCTGTAACCAACAACAACCAGTGTATACTGAGTCACTGTCATTGCCTTTTGTGGTGTTCCTGCTTTGTGTTTTATGTGTTCCAAACCACAGAATTAGTATCATTTCATTTTTTGTCATATCGCCCACCCTTACTATAAGGGCACATCTAAGTGGAAGTCTTCAGGACCCTACAGTAACCTCTAGGTCTGCAGGGCCATACAGCCTCTAAGAGGAAGGTGTGTGAAGTACAGAAGAATAATAAGCTGTGACTTACGGGACAGTGAATGTCCTCCTTTGGGAAGGTAATCAAACAGCAGGGGGTTATCCTCACTCAGCATTTCGGCTCCCAGAGACAGCAGGCTGTTCTTGCTCATTAGCGCCGCCCTCAGGTTGGCCACAGAGCCACTTCGCTCCTGATTCCGGCCCCCAGCCTCCTCCCTCTCGCTGGCCAACGACGAGCTCATGAAGCTTGCCTCCCCAGCCTCTTCCTGCTTCACAAAAAAGTCCATCCGCTCACCCCGGCTGTCTGAACTAGGCTCAGCCTCGTCTGCACCTACAAAAGGAAAAATCCCAGGCTTATTACATACTAAGGCTTACTATTCAGTAACTACAGGGACTTTAATGCAAACAGTGTGAGCTATTCTTAGGTTATAGAAGTCTGTAATAAAACTAACACTGGTGGGCCCTCTTCATTTAAGGGATTAAAGGAATTGTTTGGTAAAAAAAACAGATTTACACAATTTTGCTCTTATCTCAAATGCACTTCAGCGGAGATGTTTGGCCTCAGATGTTTGCTTCTTTAGTTTTGCACTGGAGTTACAAGGCTAATGTAGCTAAGAAGTACTTGTAATTAGCTTTGTGTAAACTGCATGCCTAAATCCTCACACGCTTGCCTAAAACTGTAATTAGTTAAATAATCTCAAATACACTTGCTTATATGGTTTCTCTCACTGTTGTCTATGTTATCTATAAAAAATCATAAAATTCTGTTGTTTTTAGCCGGCCTGAATTTTGTCTGGATTTTTGTCCATTCTTATACATAACAATGAGGCTGTTTACATGTTGCATCAACATGACTTTTCGGTGCTTAGCCAACATTCAGATTTCATTTCACCATGTGAAAAGCCATGTGTGAACACCTAGAATGCATGGTGACTGGATTACGATCAGATGACTCAAACCACATTTGGAGGTTGTCAGAGACGGATCTTAATCACATTCAAACAAGGGTCTCATCTGGTCACTTTGGGAAGACATTTTAAAGTATATCCAGACACTATCTGGACGAATGTTTAGGTGTAAACAAACTTAGTGTACAGTGCCAGAAAATAAGCAAACATTTTTATTTGAGATGACAACAATTTGATATGGTTTAAGGCATGTGTTCTGATGTTTTAGGCATGCAGTTTGGACAATGCTAACTGGTGTACATAACGTAGCTGTTGAAACAAAACCTCCACCTTTTTCCATCTTTAATATGATTTATAAACACCAGCTGCCCTTCCTATGAAAGTTTCATAATGTATGTATCTTGAAAAAAAGACTCATGATGTATGGTCTTGAAATTTTTTACTTTACATTAACTTACAATGAAACTGAAGAAGAATGCTTCTCCTGTAAACCATTTTGGAGATACAAGGTTCTTGTCCAACAGTGACGATAAGCTGCCTGTACTTGTTAGCTACATTAGCCTCAAAACATCACTGCAAACTCCAAATATGTCTTGGCTGATTGAGCACATTTACATAGAAGAAAACTGTCAATTTGATTGTCCATTCAACTACTTCTTTAGAGTTTTAGCTGTATTTTCAATGATGTGGGAACAATTACAGACAAGAGTGTCTTGGCATCTGTTACTAAGCATCAGCACAGACTTCAGTTAAAGCTAAAAATAATATATAAAAAAAACGAGCCCCAAAATAAATCATCAAATGGATCAAAAGCAATACTTGATCATTACTGCTATCTAATCTGTCCTTAGGAAAAAAAACTTTGCTGCTCCTCCTATGAAATAAAGGCCTAAACTACGAAAAGCAGGCTGCTGACACAGAAGACACACACACACACACACTCACACACATACAAACTCACACAGCACCCATCACAACATCTCCTCCCTTGTCTAGGAGACAAGGACGCGCAGCTTGGATGGAAAGAGCTTTACACAGTACTGAAAATGACAAGAAAAAAGAAAAGCGGGGGGAAAAAAAACAGTGAGAAAGAGAGAAAAAACAACAGTATTTAGTGAGTGCGAGAAAGGAGGCCTGTTTAGACTGTGCTGACAGTCCAAAGCAGAGGGGCTGTTCAAAACAGCTGTCACGCCGTTCCACAGTGACTTTAGATCAGCACTGGGCTCAAAGCAGCCAGGCTGACAGGCCGGCCGAAAAAACCAAATCAGACCCAACTAAGCCTACACAACTCTACACCCTCCAGCAGCCAATTATAGCTTAAAGACAAACTATAATAACACAAAGCCTAACGCACATTCATATACAAATCTCCACGCACAAATACACTTAACACACACACACAGAGACACATAAGAGTTTGCGTGTGTCCCCCCGAGATCCAAAGCATGGTGTGTGTTTACACTGTATTCCCTGGAGCTTGGGTGACAAGAGACAAGTGTGTGGCTCTAGAGTGAGCAGTGAAGTATGAGAAGTACAAACGTATTGCTTGTGTACACACTCTGCCAAACACATACACAGACACATACACTCACCCAGTCAAGCACACACACATCACAGGTGTCAACCCATACAGTTTACTTATAGAAAATATGCTTTTTACACAGTTTGGGAGGTATAAAGCCATATAAGGCTGGGATACAGGAAATCTAGTCCGATACAGTTTTTCGCATAAACTTTGTCACGTTCAGATGTGTTTCTCAGTTTCCATTAGACTTACTAGCCTATGCGGGTAGTGGGATACTGATTCATGTGAAGTTTTGCACATATGCTGTACACAAAACAAAACAGGTATCGGCACACTGAGAAACAAAGCAAGCCATCAAACCGTCACCAGAACTGAAAAAAGGGTTAGGCTATAGTCATTAGACAGACAAAAGTTTAGTGTCTGTGTGTCTTAAAAATGAACTCACACACATGAAAATGCATTGCCATTAAGGTACATTTAGACCTCAGACTCATTTTTCAAATTATGCTACAAAAAGTCTGTTCTGTCATACCGAACAGAGAGCTGTTGGTAAGTGTCTACATACCTTGCTCAATATCCTCAGGTTTTTAAATTGTAAGGGCTAGAATAGAGATGTATATCAGCTTGTGCCATCAGCTTTGTTAATTTTTAATTAATAGTGTGAACATGCTAGTTGCATTAAATGCTGCAAATATTGTAGTAATACTCCTATATCATTGCTAAGTTTTAGTTGGAAACAAAAGGGTTAAAATGTTGACACACCTATTGGAAAATTGTCCAATCAGGATTTTTCCAGGTAGATACAGCCAAGCTACCTCTCCCATTAGTTAGGCCTTCGCACAACCATTGACGAAGTTAGGAAATGACAGTGGAATCAACCAATCATGTTTTGATTTATAATGGGTGAGACCAATTTTGTGAGAGAAAAGGTCAATGCATGCTTTCAGAAAGTCCTTGAAACATCACTGACTGCGAACACGAGTGGTTGCCTAACCAGATTTCAGTTAGTTGTTAGCAATGGAACACGGCAGCAGCAGCTCTAATCCAGGGCTCTTCACTAAAAGAGTCACAATAAAATTGCTACATACAAGGTTAAATATATGTTTATGTCTTTTTCAAGCTTCAAATAAAACATATGTAATATCTTTTAAAAGCTTCACATGTCTTCAAAAGCTTACTACTAACATACTACAAGAAAACACACAGGGGTGCTAGCAGAAATTAGCATTATCACAGAGGTGTTTTTTTTCTCTTGAGTTATGACATTAATGGCTCGAACTGATCTCACCACTGATCTGTACAGATACTGTATTCAGACAATTCTTTTTACTTTTTGCTTTATTCTGTATACTTTGTTCAGACAATTCCATTCACGCACACATATTCTGTCAGTCTTCATAAGTGTACAAACATCATATTTGTTGCAGTCGGGTATATAATAGATCTACCGGTGAAATGAATATGCTCACTTTGCCTTTCAGATCATCAGAGTGAGAAAACAAAGAAAGGGGAAAGAAGGAGTGCAGAAACCAACAAGAGGTCACACACAAACACGCACACATATAGAGGCAGGCAGAGTTAATTAAGGTGGTAGAGTGGGGGAGTTGGGCTGGGAGGGCACAGGGGTTGGAAGAATTCATTAGAGAAAGTCCAGCCTTCATCTGTGGGCAGGGGGCATGAGAGTCAATCAATAAAATGGATCTTCCACTCCCAACACATTCACACACACAGACACACAAGCATCCAGCAAACGGAGACTGAGCCGCTCACCCTCCGACCCCGATCCCCCCTTTACTCATCTGCTCCCTGCATGCTGAACTGACCCTTATAACACACGCATGCACAATCAGATAACATCACCTACAGGCAACATGTACTTACACAGGACCGTATTCACATATTCGTGCAGTATTATTCAGTGACAGCTGAATATGGATGACACGCAATTTAATATTCAATGCGTCCACTTGCTCATAAGCATGAATGAAGGTATAATCCCTGCTGTTGACAATGCAAACGCCCAATTAGCACCATGGTGCATTACACATACAAACACATTAACAAATAATAACTAATAATCTACTTAGAGCAAATTATCCAGTGTAAACCAAGTGTGCGCGAGAACTGAATTGGAAATGGGAGAAGTGCACTGACTTTATTGTTTGATGGCAGATTTGGAAAGTCATAGTCAATTAGAAATCGGTACAATTATGCGTTTCCTATGACCGTCCTTTGTTCATGGGTATTATGCACGAGCTTTTAAATGAGCAGTGGTTTAATTACCATGTCACATTGCGTCACGTTACAATGGTGGCTTAAAGAACACTGGAGAGCATTGTTACATCTCTCCCTCATAAGAGAGGGGCTGAATAATTTTGATGCCTCCTTGCAAAGAAATTCTCAGTTTAATTTGGTTGCCATGGCAGCCAGGCACACTTGGCTTCAACATTTATGCTAAATAAAACACCCTTTTAAGAGTAGACACAAATAGGAGGACTCATGGTGAAGGCTTTGTGTGCCTGTGTATGTGCGTGCATGTGTGCGTGTGTGTGTGTGAGAGCGCCCATGCGTGGGTGTACTCCGGTTTGGACATGAATCTGTATGTTGTGTGTTCGGTGTGAGTGTCCGCGAGTGTGTATGTGTGAATAATGCATGCAGAGGAGGTGATGTGTATGTCTATATGTGTTTGCACTCAATTTATGTATGCAGTAAGTGTGTATGTGTGTGTTTATGCGTGTGTGACTGACAGGGTTAATGCTTAATAGAGGGATCGTTGTCTTCTAGTGTTTATAAAAGGCCAGTAAAAGAGAAAAGCAGGGTGGCGGTCAGCTGATAAATTTTGACCCCACGACCCTAGCTGCTGTTCTGTCCACACCTATAACCCTTTTGGCCCTTTTG